AGCCCCTGTGCGCACACACACACTGCTCTGTGCACACACACACACACACAGCCCCTGTGCGCACACACACACTGCTCTGTGCACACACACACACACACACTGCTCTGTGCACACACACACACACAGAGCTCTGTGCACACTCACACACACAGCCCCTGTGCATGTGCACACACACTGATCTGTGCACACAGAGTGCTCTGTACATACACACAGAGCTCTGTACACACACACACACACCGGGCTCTGCACACACACGCTGCTCTGTACACACACACAGCCCCTGTACACACACAGTGCTCTGTACACACACACACACATACACACTGCTCTGTGCACGCATACACACAGAGGTCTGTACACACATGGCCCATGTGCACACACAGATCTCTGTACACACACACACAGATGGCCCATGTGCACACACACAGTGCTCTACACACACAGTGCTCTATACACAAACACATACACACAGCTATGGGCACACACACATACTTGCCAGGTACACACACACTTGCCAGGTACACACACACAGAGTGCTCAGTACACACACACAGCTCATGTACACACACACAGCTCATGTACACACACACACACACACTGCTCTGTACACACACATGTGCACACAACTATGTGCGCGCACACACACGTACTTGCCAGGTACACACACACAGAGCTCCGTATGCACACACACACACAGCCCCTGTGCATACACACACACTGCTCTGTGTACACACACACACACACACACACACACAGCCCCTGTGCACACACTGCTCTGTGCACACACACACACACACTGATCTGTGCACACAGAGTGCTCTGTACATACACACAGAGCTCTGTACACACACACACACACCGGGCTCTGCACACACACTCTGCTCTGTACACACACACAGCCCCTGTACACACCCAGTGCTCTGTACACACACACACATACACACTGCTCTGTGCACGCATACACACAGCTATGTGCACACACACACACACACAGGTCTGTACACACACACAGCCCATGTGCACACACAGATCTCTGTACACACACACACAGATGGCCCATGTGCACACACACACACAGAGCTCTGTACACACACACACACACACCTACTTGCCGGGTACACACACACAGAGTGATCTGTACACACACACACACACACACTGCTCTGTACACACACATGTACACACAACCATGTGCACACACACACACACATACTTGCCAGGTACACACACACAGAGAGCTCTGTATGCACACACACACACACAGGGCCTGGTCCCTGTCCCAGCGCCAGCCCCAGGGACCCGTGGGGGTGGGTGGGTATTTGCGGCGCCCGGGAGCCCGTGTCGTGACCCCGTTAACGGGACCCTGGCCTGACCGCGGCACGTCTCAGATCCACCCGACCGAAGGGCCTGAGCCAGCGATACCCGTCGCTGCCCTGCTCCGCCCCCCAGCCCTGCCCCACTCAGGGCCGGCTCTAGGCACCAGCAAAACAAGCTGGTGCTTGGGGCGGCACATTTGTAGGGGCGGCATGGCCGGCGCCAGAATGCCGCCCCTAAAGATGTGCCCCGGCCGCCCTAGCTCGCCACGGCATGCGAAACAGCTGATTCGCGCGCCGCTACTCGCCCTCCCTCCCGGCTCTCAAACCTGGGAGGGGGGGAGACTCCGAGTGGCCGCGACCCCCCTCCCTCCCTCCCTCCTTCCCTCCTAGGCTTCAGAGCCTGGCGGGAGGAGGCAGGGCTGGGGATTTTGGGGAAGGAGCGGAGTTGAGGCGGGGCCGGGGGTGGAGTAATTAAAGAACCGGGGGCGGCCAAAATTTTTTTTGCTTTGGGCGGCAAAAATCCTAGAGCCGGCCCTGGCCCCACTGCCCCCACCGGGCCCCCAGACACCCATGTCTCTGTGTCTGCTGCTTCTTAACCATCCTCCCACCCCAGAGGCCCTGGAGGGGTGTGTATGGGGATGGACGGACAGACCTGGAGGGGTGTGCATGGGGATGGATGGACGGACAGACGGAGGGGTGTGTACGGGGAAGGACAGACACACGGAGGGGTGTGTATGGGGATGGATGGATGGACAGACACACGGAGGGGTGTGGTTGGGGATGGATGGACAGATAGACGGGTGTGTATGGGGATGGATGGACGGACAGACAGAGGGGTGTGTATGGGGATGGATGGACGGACAGAGGGGTGTGTATGGGGATGGATGAATAGACTGAATGCCATGCGTGGGGATAGACAGACGTTTCATGGGGATAGACAGTCGTGCACGGGGATAGACAGACGTGCACAGGGACACACAGACATGCGTCCGTGGGGACGGATAGATTTCTCCTTATTTGAACATCTGCCAAAACCCAAAATGTTCCCACCGAAAATTGAGACAAACGTCTCCTTGCTTGTTTGGTTTTGTCAACCTCGTCCACGGGGACCAACCCCCATTTCCTGGCCGTCTGTACTTGTGATCCTGTAGGAGGCCCTCCAGTCACGTTTTCACACTGTTCTCTCCTCATCATCAATCCCAAGGGCAGCGGGGACCAATGGGATCGCCTAGTGCCAGAGCACCGCCCTACTCCAGTGCCTCCCCAAGGCGCCTGGAGACGCAGCAGGGCGTGCCTCGGGGAATTGGTGATGCTAGGGGACGCCTGTAGTTATGGTCGCCTGGCCTTTCCCGCCGCGAGACCCTGTTTTCGGTTTCCTGTAGCTTTGCCAAAATGTAATCGTTTGGGATGACATTTTCCAGGCCTGCGGCTGAAATTTTGGAATGGACGTTCCAGCTAAAATGGATCAGTCGGAAGCATAGAGACCGCCCTCCTACTCCGCCACGTGCTGCTACAGCGCCCCTCATGGAACCATAGAGTCCTCTCTCTCACACCCATTCAGGCCTTGGAGGACTGTGGGATACGGGGGTGCTCAGGGCCTAAGGGATTGTGGGATGCAGGGGCACTTGGGGCCCAGGGGATTGTGGGATAAGGAGGTGCTTGGGGGCATTATGGGATACGGGGGGGAAGGGAATTATGGGATATGGAGGTGCTCAGGGGGATTGTGGGATACTGGGGTGCTCGGGCCCAGGAGATTGTGGGATACGGGCGGACCCAGAGGGATTGTGGGATACGGCGGTGCTCGGGCCCAGGGGATTGTGGGATCCGGGCGAGCCCAGAGGGATTGTGGGATCCGGGGGTGCTTGGGCCCAGGGGATTGTGGGATCCGGGCGAGCCCAGAGGGATTGTGGGATACGGCGGTGCTTGGGCCATGGGGATTGTGGGATACAGGGGGCGGGCAGAGGGATTGTGGGATATGGGCGTGCGTGCTCGAGCCCAGGGGATTGTGGGATACGGAGGTGCTTGGGGGTTATGGGATATGGGGGTGTTCGGGCCCAGGGGATTGTGGGATATGGGGGAGTGGCTCGGGCCCCTTTTTCCCCATATCCCCCCTCGTGCAGGGGTGGGGAGATTCGAACCCGGGACCTCAGGGTGCCCGGGGGGAGGGGACTGTGTCCCAACTGTCACTTTTGATTGACATTGCCGCGCAGCCAATCAGGAGAGCGGGGGAGAACGGAAGGGGGGGGCTCGGCCTGTGATTGGCAGCCATGGGCGTGGCCTAGGCGTCGGGCGTTTCCCGCTCTCGGTTTCGGACGGGCAGAGGCATGCGGCGGAGGGGGGGGGGGCGGGAGAGGGCTTGCGCCCAAATGTTAGTTGGAAGAGAGAGGCGCCTCCTGATTGGTCAACGGGAGTAGAAGGGGGCCTCATGATTGGTTGGAATTGCGAAAGGGCGGGGCAAGTCTCACAGGGGCGTCGCTGAGAAGGGGCGGGGCATCGCCCTCGGATTGGAGGGCCCGGCGCCTGCGTATGGATCCCGCCGCCGCCATTGGCTCCCCCCCTCCTCGTGCTCCCACCGACGCCTTCGGATGGGCCGCCGGGTCGCGCGCGCGGCGTCTGAGCATCGCAACGCAACGCCGTCTCCGATTGGCCCCCCAACCCTTCCTCCGCTTCCCATTGGCCACCTCCCGCGGGGCCCCGTCCTCCGATTGGCCCGCGGCCCCGGGCGGGCTCCCGCTGATTGGTTGGC